TGATGAGATATGATTTCATTAAATATCATCTAAACAACATATACACATGTTAAGTCGAGATGGGGTGGCTCACATGAAATATGCAAGCAATAAGATCTGATTGAATTTGATTTGATCTTATCTTATCTGATTAGATCTAATATGCTTGATCTGATTCTAGTTATATTTAAAAACTCTTTCTAATTTGATCTGGTTTATTTTGATTAGATCTGTTTTTGTCCGATTTGATCTAATTAGTCCGATTAGTTATGTTAAAAACTCTTTTAATTTGATATAGTCTAATATGATATGATAAGATTTGATTTCATTAGATATCATCTAAACAACATACAAACATGTTAAATTGATCTGATCTTATTGTGTTTTTTTGAAATACAATAATCTTTTAGAAATAATAATATTTTGAAAGTATTTTATAAAATAAATATAAAATTATTTGGTATCAATATCTAAAGTCAATTTTATTTTAGTGGTCAAAGTTTATGAATTTTGTCGTAAAAGACTGATCGGTACTAACTAATCGAGAGAATTAAGACGGACTAGGTGGAACCTATAAGTGCTTGTTAAATGATTAGAAAAATTATACTGTTGGGTAGGGATCGACGAATCGAATCCAACAATGCAAACGGATCTCAATTCGGAGCAAGTTGGCCCGAAAGGTGTGTTTTACTCAGACACGTTATTTTAAATTACAAAGAGCAAAACCCTAGGCATATATATACTCTTTTCACGCCTCCTTCCCCGATCGAGACACGCCGCCACTAGACCTAGCCAGTTTTCCTTCTCTGACGAACTCCGATCACCTTCCCCCGCAGCAAGCTCCGGCGACTCCCTCTGTCCCGGCGAAGTCCAGCAGCGACGGGAAGGGCGATGTCGCGAGGCCAGTCGACGTCTAAGAATGGTCAGCGGCGGGAGACCTCCATCTTTGGTGGAGAATTTCCGATCAGACAGAGGGGTGGTGGTGGTGATCTCCACCGGCGAGAAGGGGGGGAGTGGCCTCCATC